TGACAGTCACAGCTCGCAATTCCATCCACGGAACAGGAAAAGAAGGCATGGAAATCAATACACCCGGGACATCGGAAGAAGCCATGCGAGGAGACACTGCTGCCGAAGTGCAGGAAATCTCCCCCCGCATGCAGATTGTCCTTTCAAAGAGAAGTTTCACCAGATTGAAGGCGACACAAACGCCACCTTCAGCCACCTCTTCGTCCTGGTAAAACTCCTCTTTGAAGGGACGATCTGCAGGTTGGGGAGGGGAGATTTCTTGCACTTCGGCAGCAGCGTCTCCTCGCAGGGCTTCTTCCGATGTCCCAAATATATGGATTTTAATGCCTACAGGAGGTTGCTTCTCACCTGCATATTCACATTGAAGGCTCAAAATGGGGCGTTTTTGCAAATGGCTTGAAAATGGGGAGGGAGATATTCCTGCTTCTTTCCTTGTTCTGAAGGTCAGCACAGACTGAGAACAGGATAAGAGATGAAATCCCCCCTCCCCATTTTCAAGAGGTTTGAAAAACACCATATTCCAAGCCTTCACATTATCCAGGATTGCAGGATTGAAGGCATGTGGGAGGATTTTGTCTCTTATCCTGTTTTCAATCTGTGACCTTCAGGATGGGGAGAGGCAGGAATATCCCCCTCCATATTTTCAAATGGTTTGCAAAAACGTTCCATTTCGAGACTCCCGCATATTCCAGGATTGCAGGTTTGAAGGCTCGGAATGAGGCGTTTTTGCAAACGGCTTGAAAATGGGGAGGGGAGATTTTCCTTCCTCTTACCCTGTTCTGAAGCTCAGCACAGACTCAGAACAGGATAAGAGGCAACTCCCCTCCTTTTTCCTGGCAATCGTTCTTTCCTTGGGATTTCAGTGCAGACGCACATCCCCCAAATGCTCTATCCGAAGCCTTCTGTGTATCTGTGTAGAGCTCCCAAGGAAAGGATGGTGTGCATGTGTGAGAAAGAGATCCCTACCCCCCCTCCCAAGGCAACCACATCCCTCCACTAACCTGCTTTCCTGCTCCACTGCCATGTGCAGGGCAAGAAAAGTAGTTTGTGAGACTACTTCCAACTTCGCGAGATCTTTTTTTCTTTTTTTGGTAGAACTTAGAAGGTATTTTCTGGGTTTTTTTTTTTACCATAGGCACGGTCTACTTTTCTTGTCCTGCATGTGGAGCGGACAATGGAGCTGGAAAGCAAGTTAGTGAAGGGATGTGGCTGCCTTGGAGGGGGAGGGTGTGTGTGTGTGTGTGTTCGTTCGTTCTGCCAGGAACGAACGAACACACACAGGCCAGAGCAGCACAGTCAGCTGTTCCATGGCCAGCAAGCAGGGCAGACGAAGGCCAGGATGCAAGGAGAACTTGGGTCATTGTGGCCACAGGCAAGCAGATGGTGGGACGGAGAGGGTGAGGCTGGTGGACTTGCTGCTTCCTGCACCTGAAAAATAATAAGGCCTCCCCCTCTAATAAACCCAAGGCCATATTTCAATAAGGCCTCCCCCTCTAATAAACCCAAGGCCATATTTCATGGGTCAAAAAATACAAGACCTGTCTTATTTTCGGGAAAACACGGTACATGCTTTTATTATGTTGAATCCCAATATTGCATGGCCACTCTTCCCACAAAGTTCCTGTAACTTCAACCTTTCTATCATTCCATCTCTGTTAGTGATAATTAAGTCCAGTCTGGCTGACCGTCTAGTTTCCTTCTCTGTCTTTTAGATGACAAAGTTGTCTGTTAGGTTGTCAGGAACCTGTGATTTTTCACTAGGTACAGAGATTGTCTTAGGGTAGTTAAAGTTGTGGTGTGCTTCCTACACACCTTAGTTTGCTGATTAGTAAAAACTTCATCTATTTCCTCTGTTTGGTTGGGTAGCTTGTAATATACACCTATGGCTATGCCATTCTTATTTGCTTTTATATTAACCCAAATACATTCATCTTAAAATACATACATTTTTATCGTTGTTTTATTGTATTTCTATAGAGGTGTAACTCTACCTCTTTATTAGTTCTGTTTTCAACAGTTTGAATCCCTCTGGCTGTATGTTTAGTCATGGGTTTCATTCCAACAAGTTTCGGCAGTGGCTGTGATGTCATATCTGCCCTCATGTACTAGGATATCAAATTCACTGTTTGTCCTCATACTTTGAAACATTAGTGTATATGCATCTCAGTTCTTTTTGACTAATTCTGTGTTTGGTTTTTACATTTTGGAATTTGTGTCTGAGTTCCCCTTTTTTCTTACCATTTGGTTAATTGCCCTGACATTTGTGCTTGGAATTATCTTTCAAAAAATCATCTCCCTGCCTCCCCCCACCCCAGTTTTAGTTTAAAGCCCTTTGCATAGGTTCAGCCAGTTGGTTTCCAAAGATATTTATCCCAGTTCTTCCGAGGTATAGCCCATCCCCTGCTAGAAGTTCAGATGCATTGCTAGAAGCAATCCCAGAATTCCTTGTTGCCATTGCTAACCAAATCATGATAGTTGTTAGGCTAGGACCCACCCTGATCCAATCCATACCTGGCTTGCTCCCTTCTAGCACTGAACCCAGTAAGTTAAGGAACTACCTCCTCTTCACCTCCCTTCATCTGCCATTTTGGCTGCCTTACAGTCTTCTCTTTTGCTGGTCTTGCTGCCCTGTGCTCTGCTTGCCCTACTGCCTGTCAGTGCTACTATTCTGCCAGCCCTGTGGCCAAGTGACATGCTTTCCTCCTCCCACTGCTGACAAAGTGTACCCAGCTTGGTCGTAAGTGAGGCAATTGCTGGCTGTGCCAGGCCTTCTTCCCAAGGCCACTTGAACTGTTCTCTAAATCAAGCAGTACCTTCTCATTATGCTCTGGAAGACTTTGGAAGCTTTCTGAAGGCAGTAAAGGCCAATTGTGGGTGGCAGGACCAGTGAATGCAGGGTAGCAGGGCCAGCAGACTGAGTGGAGCACAGACCAGCAGGATGGCAGGTAAGTGGAGGGAAGGAAGGTGACAACAGCTCAAGCTTTGTGCTATGGTGCTGGGATGTCCAGCCACAATTTAAATATTAGTATTTTTAGTAATAAATATAAAATTAATGGCAGACAGCTATTTTTATATTGGTCCATGTCTGTAATACATGTAGTAGTAAGTTCTTCGTTTTGCTAAGATCAAGTGATTTTTTTAAAAATTACAATTTGGTATAGAATTAATGGGCTAGGTTTATGTTTTTGAAAATCAGTGAGAATTCTGAATACACATCATTGTATTGGAATAGGGCAGCTAGTAACAAGAGGCTACAGCTATATTAAAAAGTAATAAGTAGTGTAAGAGACCTGGAAATAAATTCATTTTTTTCAACAAAGCAATGAGAAAATAGTCCCAATTTTGTCTATATGAAATAGATTATTGTGAGGATGAAGATTATCAAGTGTATTATATACAAAAAGTTCATGTAAAATTCTATAGCAATAGTCCATATTGTCTGTCTCCACTTTGAATAGAACCTGAGGTGAACAAGGAGAAGGACTTAATACATCCTTAGAACTAAAAGTGCTATTTTGATCTTATAATGCTATAAATACATTCACATGGGATTTCAAACATAAAAAGCCCTTTGAGACCTTGGCCTTTTAAAAAGCTTTTATCTAATTAAACTCAACAATATTTATTTGTCCCTAGGCAATAGGCAAAAGATAGCTAGTTTTTGCCTTCAACAAATCTCAAATGTAACAAGCAAAATGTTCTATTGCTTGAAGTGCCAAAGCCAAACCCACTCTTAATTTTCACCGGGCAGGAAATAGTTGCTCATCAACTTAATATTATATTTGGCAAACAATGTCCCTGTAAGAAGGTCATATTATAAGCTCAGGGTTTAATTTTCTTTGCTACATTACAAGTAATACTTTAGTATCTTACTGTGGTCTGTTCAAACTACATACGCCAAGAGACTACACAATGGACACAGAGAACTACACAAGAAGAAAATATTTATGTTTTAAGTTTTAAGAGAGGCAAATTACTTATTATTGAATGGGGTACAGATCAAGGATTACTTGATTATGGAAGTGAATAGAATAGCACAGAGAAAACATTATGAATTAAAGGGCACTATTCTGATGTATATTTTAGTATAGAAACTTGTGCACTGGCAAACAAATGCAAAATGACCAGTGATAATTCACTGATGTCATAATCAAATCGTCACGATGTCTAACATTTTTCCCAAACAAATTTGCTGTGATCAAAATAACACATTTATCCTGAGAATGCAATATTTTCCCCAAATACATTTATGGTCTTCAATTTTATGTAATAAAATATATAAGGTATTTTAATATCTTGCAGTTAACAATTGAGCATTTACACATATTTTCAAAAGCAGAAGACTGAAAAGAAAAGCAAAATGTGTATTCCTGAAGCCAGGACTTTCTTTATGTTTCTGATATATACAAACTGTACATCTGTTACATATTTGTTATAAATTATAAATCTCAAGAAATGGAATATTTTGGATTTATCAATCTGTACCAAAATTTAAATGCATTAGGAACATTCATAAAATTGTAGAGAGGTCCAATCTTGCAAACTATGAACTTTTTAAAGAGGTTGACATATGAACTGACATATATGTTAGACTAAAATAATCTGCAAATAAGAGTGTAGTAGATCTAATATATTAAAGGAAATGTCTGTAAAACATTTGAGGATATCCCTTTGAATATAATGTGCAGTATCTGTCAGTATAAATGTCAAGATCTATTTTTTTTTTGTTTTCAACATTCAAAATAATTGTTATTTTTGTTTTATTTTGTCAAGAAGTGTTATGCCTTTGGGGACTTCTCAAATGCTGCCATTGTCACTTGTGTATCTAAAGGCTGTTTCTGTATGCTTTCCTTTCTTCATAAAGATGCCAGTGCTGTTTTTCCAACCAAAAACAATTTCAATTAGTCTATATCCTTACTACAAGCATAACATGACAGTGATACAAGAACAAGTATTGATTTAAACAAAAAGCCATTTTTAAAAACAGTGTTCATTCTTACCAACTCCAGTAGTTATTGATTCTGTGTCAATGTTGTTAGCTTTTTTCTTTGCCACTTCAGCTAGTGCCAATTCACCCTTATCTAGTGCAAAGTAATGGATGTCCTTTAGAAATAAAGCAAAATAAAAGATTAATCTAAAATGAATCTTGGGCAGGTAACAAAGAAGAATTTGAAAGGTTCTTTATTCCTTCGATCAGATACAGAGTTGGAAATGATGAGACTATATTTATAATTTTCTCAATGTTTGGAAATGCAGGTTTATAATCCAACTTGAATTTCTTTACTTAGTAATGAATGAAGCAGTAACCATTAACAGAAAAAATAAAGCCATTCAATCCTGTGGTACAACTAAACTTTTAATAAACAGCTTAGACTTTCCTATTGTAAAAACCAAAGCTTTGGCAAATATCCCAGTATAAAGGAAACATGAAGGTATATAATGAAGGTATATTTTTCCTAACATTTCCTAGTGATTTGTGATATCTTAATAAATATTTATAACTTTCTTTGCCTTTTTATTCCTGAATGTCTCCAATCTGGATTTTTACTTTGTTTATTTGAGTCTGAAAATTAGAGGCATAAGTAGCTTGGGAAATTTCATTTTATATTCTAAATCAGACCAAATCAGCATTTTACACACCCCAGGCCACATGGGTCTTTTTGGCTGTCCCTATCAGGCCTCCGTGAGGTCAATAAATGAACACCATGCATGTAATACAACTGCATTGCTTTTGTTTTGAAGGCAACTGGTATTTTTTTTTTAAAAAAAATGTATGTACAAGCATGCGTGCCTACGGATCTTCATAACCGTATTGGCTTCTTGTTTTCTCATGTGACCCCTTGAGAAAATTTCCCATAAAGTATATCCATCAGAAATGCTTGTTTTTTTAAAAAGAATTGTTAATATGTCAAAAAGGAAATAAATGATTGGCAAATAATCCTGTTAACAATATAAAGTTAAATAAAATTTAGTTTCTGTAAATGCAGGTTTGTCCCACTTGAGTATAAAGAAATATGAATACTGTTTCATGATTCCATGTAAAGGGAAAGTTTCTGAGCCCTCCCACCAAATCTTACTTCTATAGTTGTTCCTTTTCAAGATTGCTTTTAATTTAGGTGGCCTTCCCCTCCAGAATGGAATTTGAGAGAAAATATCTAGAAAAGCGTTTAATGGGTAGAAATTAGTGGGTGTATTATTCACTTATGTGTGGGTTTTTTTGCTCTTCTTTGCTGTCTTTTACTATCACATCCAGTTTTGAAATGTAGTCTTTTTGACCACTCTGGTTCCTGTAAAATATTTTGGGTGTATCTGGATTGCTAGAATATCCTGCCATGACTAGAGTCCCCAATTGATTCTGGAGGGTTGGAGAAGTATTAACTACTCCTGCTAGCCCAGCTCAAGTATGATCTATACCTTTGTAATGGTTTGTGAGAAAGAATGTTCAAATAAGAAAGAGCATAGCTCACCACTACATAATGGGCAGAGAAGAAGGCTCAAAAGAGACGTTTCCTAGCTTCTCAGACTGTAATAAGAGATGGGAGATTTGTGTTTTGGGACTTGCTACGTTTTGTTTTTGTAGTCTTACAATAAAGTAGAATTAAGTTGTATGGTCATCTTTCCTGTCTGGTCTACATGGGAAGGTTGACTTTAATTCTGCAAGCGACAGAAACCAAAAAACTCCTCAGCTTAGTCAGCGATTGCCAGCCTGTAGCATCAGAATTGTTGCTACAGCTATTGTTGGGAAGATTCAAGCTCAATAGCAAAATGTTTATGACACTTGCCCAACATGTACAATACCGGTGATTCAAACTTGGAAGAATTCTTTTAGACCAAGAAACTTATTTTTTTCCCCTTGACTTTCTTTATGTTATACCTTATGTTATCACTTCTCGGTCACTAAAATCCTTCTATCTCAAGTGACTGAAAAAATAAAATAAAATGGTACATCAGTGGTATTTTACATATCAAACAAATGTTATAACCATTATGTCACTCAGATTCCTGCTTTTCAATAGTACCTGAAGCTTACTGAACCAAACTGGGAAAATACAGGAGAGGAATTTTTGTTTCAAATTGGTCGTTGTGCCTGCTAAAACTTCATAGGTTGTATATAAAATGTTTATATGCACATGCAAATATATGCCCATGTATGCATAAACAAGACCAACAAGCAGGACTAAATCCCTTCTAAACCAGTTCCAAAATGTATCAATCTGATTGGTTTAGATTTAAGGCAGCATCAGCATACGGTAATCCTTATTAGTTTTGCTACTTAAAAAGCCATTTCTCATTATACCAATCTCTTCTTTTCAGTGGATCTATTAATATTTTTTAATCTTGCTTGCTAAACAACACTTCTAAGTACATGGTCTTGTCCCACATTTAAATTCCTCCTTGTATCTTTGCATATTGAGTAATACAATTTATTTATATATGCATGTACATATTCAGATATGGCAACATTTTTCAGAAATGGCATGTCACTGGCCTTCTTCTTAAGGTTGAGAGAGAGTGATTGAACCAAATCACTCAGCTGGCTTTGTGCCTAAGGCAGGCCTAGAACTTACATGCTCCAGGCTTGTAGCCTTAATCATTACACCAGACTAGATTTATAGTCTGATTTATACCAGACTAAATAAGAATGGAACACTTATAACTTTATCCAGATCTTTTATGTATGTTTCCCTACCCCTGCTGAAGTATTATTATTATGTGGTTAATCTTTGGTGAGATTCACAGCCTTTGGGGCTGGTTGGTAGCTCAACAGCTTGAGTCCTAACCGAAGACCTAGGAACTGTTAAGGTAACATTGGAGGATATAATCTGTTCCAAGTAGGGTGGCTTTTTGTAGAAT